TTGTGTCAATGTGTGAATAAGCTTCAGTGTTGCGACGCTCCGGTAATGAACTAGCCCTCATGAGGCATTTGTGATACATGGCAACCTACATTGAACCCGGCGGGTTTATGGATCATGATTTCTGGCTTCATGTTAAACCAGACCCGTGGTACACCAGATATGTACCCCAGACTACCAGAATTTCCCCATTAGCATTATTAGCAATAGACAAGATTTGTAACCATCCGGAGTGACTCCACAGGTGCTAAATGCTCGATCGAGCATTTCTAGCTCTGTGATTTTGGTGTTAGGAATTTGACTGCACCCCCTTACCAAGGCCATATCAAAGGCTGAGGAATTCCCTGCCACTCAGCAAGACAAGGCAGGCCTGTTTCTGGATCACCCGTGCCTAAGGGAGGATTCACAGAACTCCTCCCCTCTTTTCCCACCTGACACGTGGCCTCTCCTCTCCTTTCCACAGCTCAGTCATCCTTGGATACCTGGGAAACAACCATTCAGGCAACGCTACCTGAGCTGGCAAAGGAGAAGCCCATTTAGCAGGAGCCAAGCCTCCCTATGAACCCCGAGGGGAAGGGGGAGTCTGAACGTGCATGTAATTGGCACGTATGACAAAGAAAGCAAGAGAGAGCAAGTGAGAGAGAGAACCATGATCTCTCTCTCACAAGGGAGTGAACCTTGATGTCAGGGTTGCGCTTGTGGCATCGGTGACTACACATCTTACATGTTCAGTGCTGACGAATATCATCCGAGGCCTGACCTGAACCTTGGTGTGGTTGATGAAAGCAGATGTCCATCAAGAGACATCTTTTGGGGTGCCCTTCCTAGGTGCTGGAATGCTGTATTGCCAAGTCCTGGTAAGCTATTTCCCCCCATCCCTTGACATCTTGGAATACAGCTTCCATCATACTCTGCCAGACCATTCTATTGGACACTGCAGTCAGCTCACGTTGTTGGCCTTTGGTTATCAAAAACTTCTTGAAGATTTTTCAGATGTTTATGGCCTTCCAAAGACCTGGTGACTTTTGTTCATTTTGACTTTGTGGCATGAACCTCAACCTTATACCATGATTTATGTTGTAAATCTAGCCACTGTGGTTTTTTCAGTAAAAAGGAAACAGAATTACACAAATTCACGGAATTAAAAATGAAAGAAGAAGGGAAAGTCTCTTTCTGATCAAACCAACCTCATGGACATGCCTTGGTAGTTTCATGATACATTGTGGAATTGACCTGTTGTGAGTGTGACCTTTTTGTCCTACTACATCTCTGGTATTTCTAATGGTTCCCCACCCATATCCTTCATTGTTCTACCTCTCTATCTGAGATCATCCAAGGTCAGGCAATGCCGAAAAATGGGTAGTTTTTTGAAGTCACATTGTTGTCCTTCCTTGTCATCATTTAAATGGTGTTCTCCTGGCCCACTCCTTCTTTTTATTAATTTTAAACTGATGTTTCTCAACCTTGGTAGTTTGAAGATGTATGGGCTTCTACTCCCAGAATTCACAAGCTAGCATAGCTATGCATAGCATAACTGGCTGGGAAATTGAAGTCCACACATTTTCAAATAGCTAAGTTTGAGAAACACTGCTTTAGATCAATTCTTGGACTCTAATCTTTTTTTCCTCTCTTAATTCCAGTGGGCAGTTCCATCTCAGAAAGCTACTTTTTGATTCTCCCTCCTTGTTTTCCTTGCCGAAATCTGAGCACCCAACATAGCAGTTGACATAGCATCTGAATACTTATTGCTTAACCTGTCCATCTCTGCCTTTTCCTACCAACCTTGGCCAGAGAGAAGGAGGAGGAAGAGGAAGGTAGAGCCTCCAAGAATGAGGCTCTTGAAATGAGGCAGTGATTAGAGGAAGGTTTAGAAGTTTATCTTTCTTTGGAGGGTGCCCTGCGCAGTTTTTCCAAAAGCAGAATATATGCATTGATTTGAACATTGGTGATCCAATCTAGATGAGGGGGGCTGCAGCAACCAGGAAAAAATGGGTGGGGGACAGAGGAAATGCTTGCTCTGAGTTTGAAGGAGGGACCTGGAAAGCAGAATATGGTTCTCATGAAAAGATATCAAATTGACATTTATTTAATGAATCTCAATTGCTGTTGCTCTTGTTTGTATTGCTACGGAAAACAGACTATCAGTTGTAGAACATCTTGTAATAAATGCCAGCCTAACTTTATCATTCCTGGCTAAGGGACCCAGAATGACGCATGGATGCTGCTTTAGGAAGGTAGTCATTAAAATGCAGTTTCTTATCTTGCCCCTGGGAGAACTTTGAAGAACAGGAAGGTACATGTCCTTCCAGCTAAGGGGAGATGGAGCCCATGTGCTTGGCTGCAGGTCCCTGCACTTATCCACAATGAGCTGTTTCCTCCTGTCCTTGAAATAGAAAGGAAGGTATTACTTCAGAGAGTGAAGACCCCACACTTATAATGACATAAGATGGGAAAATAACTCAGGTTGCCTTTAATTGGGTAGCTGGTTCTCCAGTGCTGGGAAAAAGCTGCTTTATTTCGCTTAGGGATCTCTAACCAAAAAGGACTGGATGGGATCACTGGTGCTCTCTAAGGTTGGTGATTTTCTTGCAGATGTTTTGTTACCAAACTAGGTAACATCATCAAATATAAGATATGTGGTCTTCAGCTCTGATAATGTCACCTTGTTTGGTAAAAGAAACATCTGCAAGAAAACAATTAAGCTCAGAGCACACTGAGGATCGAACAGTTTAACCCTGAGCTACAAATATTCTCTTCCATTAGAATTGGATGGGATTGATACCACAACGCAGCTCAAAAAGAAAAAGAATGCAGGGATCAAAAGATTTAAATAGCCGAAAGAAGAACACACACTGAATTGGGAATGTGGCATTATGATTCCAGATTCAATTATATAAATCTCTAAACAAGACATGTGCAGTTCTAGAACATCAGTTCCTTCGCTCTCAATCAACAAGAAGAGGGAGAAAATAGGAAAACGCCAAAGAATAGCCAGCCAACATATGATTCTGCTTTTTCACTGGCCTCTCAGAGTTTTCAGTTCCTCCTTGGTGCCTAAGCTTATCTAGCACTTTGTAGGAAAGGGGAGGGCTGCAAAATGCTGGGATTTGCTGGGAGGATTATCCCCTAGCCATGGTTGGCTGGGAAATTCTGGGAGTTAAGTCCACATGTCTTAAAGTTGCCATAGTTGAGAAACCCCCCCACTGATCTTGAGACTCAAGTCAAAACTAAAATCCATTCTGTTAATTGTCTCAAAGGTGCTTTTTCAAGAGGCGACTGGATTTTCTGTTTTTTCTTTGAAGACGTTTCACTTCTCACCCAAGAAGCTTCTTTAGATCTGGCTGCCTAGTATCTGGAGCATTGGTAGAGTTTTCCATGACGCAAAAGATATCCCTCACCAAACCACCAGAAAAAGATTCCCCAAAAGGAGATTACTCAGAAAAGGGGCATCCAGTCTCTCTGGCAGCCACTGTAGAAATGGACGCATGGGGCCTCATGGCTGGACCGGAAAAGGTAGAATTGCGGTGAGACGACTGGAGCTGACTGCAGCAGGTCCTGTCTTCCTTACTGATTCATTTACCAAGTGTCTTAGCCACCCATCTCCAAAATTACTCAATTTCACAAGATAAAAATGTGAATAGACTGCATGAAACAAGAATATAGTCATCCATCCAGATGAAGTAGATTAAGAAAAAAAATCTTTCCTACATTACTCCCAACCTAATGAGACCCACCAAATACCTTAACCCAAATCTTGGAGAAAGAACCCCATTTTTAGGGCTCCTTTGAAGGTGGGCAGAGTAAAAGTCATATAAATGTTCAGGGTACCGGGGGGGGGGGGGGGGGTTAGTTCACCGGGCAGGTGCTGTGTTACAGGAAGCCTGGGTTCTTCTAGAGGTCATTGATTGATTGACAGAACCCGCAGCAAGCCAACACTGCCAGGAGTGTTCAGAATGGCCGAATTGCTATTTTTCTGGGTCCATCTGAAGGAATTTGAGCAGGGAAACACACACACAAAAAGAAAGGAAATTAGCTGAAAGCTGAGGCCATTTGAAGAACAGAATGTAACTGTGGAATTACCATAGCAAGTTGCCTGTGTGGATATTTGTTTTTTATTATATTTATATATTTGTAGCAATTATAGTTTTCATTAAATGGCTGATATGAGTGTGTGTTGTCGCCAAGGGATGAGTTGGGAGATTACTTTATTAATATTTTTTTATTTATTATTTTTTGTTCCTTCTACACTGTGTTTTATTTTCTGTAGGCAGCCTAGAGTCGCCATGAGCAAGTAGGCATCTATATATTTTTTCCTAAATAAATGGCTTCCGTAGGGGATCAACATGAGCAAGAAATCAGATGCAGCATCCTGATGCAGTATCAAAGAGGCATGGCAATGCCCTTGTCTGCCATCTTGCCTGTTTTCCCATGGACACTAGGGACCAAATACTGCAAAACAGCTGTAGATTTTCCCTCACATCGATCAGGAACTCCTCCCCGCTTGGGGAAGATGGTAAGCCTGAAGATACAACCTATTTTCTTTTCAGGAGAGCTGGAGTCAACTTCTGTGTAGTTTGCGAATTATTGGCACTGAGAGCTCGGAGAGGCGAGGCTAGTTTCTATCCTTGTAAAGGAATTCCTGCATATATAAGACCCGAAGAGTTTCAAGCAGCAAAAGCTGGCAGAAAAGGTTGTCTGAATCCATCTTACAAGGAGCAAGAGGGAAGCTACAGAATGATTAAAAAGTCATTTCCCCCCCCCACTCCTCCTGCTAGCTTAGCAGGACCACTGTTGGTTAATATTCTGGCAAAGCATATTAAGTCTTTGGTTGGGGTTGGGGGGAGAGGAAGATGACTAATTTAGCTTCAGCTTACACATGTCAAAAAATGCCAGATTGTGCAAGGGCAGAAGAGGTGTGATGTGGGCGGAGCGACTTGAGGATCCTCCTCCTGTAACATGCCTGGAATATATATAAACCTTGAATCCTGCACAGAACAAGCAGATGCAAAGAAATAACTTGGCAAAGATGACCAGACAGATAAGATCTGCCAACATTGGGCTGATTCTGGCCTTGATCCTTTTGGGTGAGTCACTAAGTTCGATAAAGGGTTAGTGAGACCAGGTCTGAGCCTGGTCTATAGAGGGCTAGTTTGATTTATAATTTATTACAAGATGATTCAGTTTGGTTGTTAGATAATCTACCGTTTGTTTATTAAAAAGATAATTGGATGGTTAAATGGAGCGTCTCCCTCCATTGCTCTTTGGCTACAGAAAACAAAGCCAAATTCTCAAGCCAGACCCAAACAGCTTTGTCTAAAACAAATATTATCTGCGATAAATAAGTTAATAGAGCTCTACCATGTGCCATATGGTAGCAGTGGCTGGATAATGGGTGGGAATAAGGCCCTTTAAGGACCGCTACCCAGCCAATAAAAAAACCTTTATACGTAGTATTTACATTTTTTTATAGTGGGTAAAGAGATGGTAAAGGTGCGTGCGAAGGGAGATATAGCTAATGAAGAGACAGATTAGATTAGCAAAAAAGCAGGGAGAGTATGCAAGCAATCGGTACTTTATAAAAAAATATGTAAGAGGCTGGAACTCTTGAAAGTTGCATAGTTTAATTTCATTTGATTCTGGCTGCTTCTGAAAAAAAATGGGGTATACTCAATATTAGAAAAGACCAGCTGGAGATGCCATATCCTTTTTGGGATAAACTGGAACAACCAATAACACAACCTTAACAGCAATCTGATTCTGCAATCTGGTATCTCTGTTTAGAATAAATTAGATAAATTTAAAATAAATTTAGAATAAAAATATGTATATATATTTTTTACAGGAAATGTAACTGTTTCACAAGAGAGCAGGGTTAGTGATGGAGAGAGCTGATTCAGATATCGCCCTGAGCTTCAAACAGGAAGATCACTGCTGGTGATGCTTGTGTAACACATGGCTGCCTTTAAGAAAGTGCAGTGTGCGTATTGGATCTAGTTTGGCACTGGAGAGCACACATGTACTCCCAGTGTAAAACTTCCCATGGGTAACATTTCTTCCACTGGGGATGTTGCAAATGGGAGAAGATACGCTATTCTTCGCTGAGTATGTATGCTTCTTGATAAGTTTGCAGAGGCTTCTTTGTCATCTGTCTGTCTTTCTCTCTGTGTCTCTTTCTTCCAGCCTCCCTTCCTCCCTCCCGCCATCCATCCGTCTGTCTGTCTAATCATCTATCTATCCAGCTAGCCAGTCTGCCAGCCCAATATCTTTGTGAAAAGATATTATGCTGGGGAAATCTCCCCCTGTTGAATTTTTGCTTGTTATCATTGCTGCCATTCCGTGCCTTGGAGACACCAAAGCAGTCAGACGAACAAGCTACCATCACCCTCCAAGGGAGCTGTCAGCTAATGTAAAGTGATTCCCCAAATGTCACATTAAAAAGCTTCTGTGTCTTCAGTTGTGCATTCACATCCTTCATCTTGAACCAGACACAAACTTTACTTCCTGGGGGCAAGGTTCCTTGATTTTTTCCTGCAGCTGTTTCATGGAAGGAATCTGAAGATGTGAGAAAGCCAACCAATTGGAGTTTGCTAAGAATGTCAATGTTGGTTATAAATCTTCTTTCCCAGCTGAGCAGCAGAACCTGTTTTAAATGTCAGAACTCCAACCCTTTAACCTGTGAAATGCTAGTTAAAAAATGCCAGTTTTGTTTACCACCATCACTCTTTATTCTGTCAGACACAAGTGGGAATTGTTTCGAGATTTCAGATCTCAAAATTGAACATTTTATTTGATTTTTCTCAAGATTGCAAAGTTGTTTTACAAGGAAGCGACTGGCCATAAACAATGGCTGTGCAGAAAGGCACAGATTCACTGTGGAGTTGAGAAGGGATCAAAATAGAAAGACGGCAACTGTAGGCCCTGCTCATAAAATAAGGAAATTTTATATTTATTTGTACATATTTGATATCTGGTGCCAAACTGGCCACTTTGTCTTTTTTGACCTCACTTTGGAGAGTGAGAGAAAGACACCAATTGTAGGCCTTCCTGTATCAAAGGCAAGTACGATGTGCTGGCACATTATGATTGTGTTCACTTGATTGCTAAGAAATAGGATCGCCATTTTTCTGGGGTTTCCCTTTGTTAACCCTCGTAAACTTCCGTCATGAACAAATATTGAAATAAGATATTTATATTACCTTTTGTGACTTTCCCTCCTTTTCCAGCTCTTTTGTTCCCCTGTGTTCTGCGTCACTGCTTGCTGTTATATCCAGTTATTGCCATTACTCAAACCTGGGTTCTTAATCTAGCTTGTTATTTAAGTCTGCCAAAAATCAGTAAATGCGGCCATTGAAGTGGGGTTTGGGGGATAGTGGGAAATTAAAGTGGCTATCCCTGGTTCTTTCTTCCCTGCTATTGCCAGCTGAACCTAAGAGAGGCGATAAAGAGATCCTGGAGGGTACACAGGTGGGCTCAAAAGCCAAGATGGCACCATAACCATCTGGACATAACAAGAGTGACACAGCCATCTTGATTTTCCTTGTGGCCACCATCTTAATATTTCTTGTGGTCGACATCTTGGTTTTTGTTGTGGCTGCCATCTTGATTTTTTTGGACCCTTGCCTGGTGCATAGCCTGGAAGGCTTACCAGAACATGAAGGGTTTGGCCTGCATTCCTCTCAATTTTGAACCACAATTTTATTCTAAGGAGGATCCGGCCTATGAGATAATTGAGGGAAAGAGAAAAATCCCCAAAAACATATGCACCACTTCAGATTTTTTTTTTTAGCAGCAGGAAATTTTTTTAAATTCTTTTTCAAACATTTAGAAAATAGGAATTTAGCCAAATGTAGATTGGGTTTAAAGGAAAGTCATTTCCCTCATGGTGTTTTTTCTTTTTACGGACAATATTCAAAAGGATTCCATAGGCAGGCAGGCACGCGTGCACGCACTCACACACACACACACACACACCACTCTCTAACAACTGTAATGTATATTACCGGCTCAGAATTGCATGCAAGTAGTCCTTGATTTATGATCACAATTGAGTCCAGAATTTTGGTTGCTAAGTGAGGCAGTTTTTACATGTATTTTGCTCCATTTGATGACCTTTACTGCCACAGTTGTTAGGCAGATCAATGCAGCTGTTAAGCAAGCCATGTGGTTGTTAAACAAACCTGGCATCCCCCCATTGACTTTAAAAGTCGCGAAACATGATCATCGTGTGATCCTGGGACAGTGCAACCATCCTAAGCACACAAAGCAGCTACATTTTGATCCCATGACCATGGGGATGCTACGATGGCCACAAGCATGAAAAACGGCCATAAGTCGCTTTCTTCGATGCCGTTGTAACTTCAAACAGTCACTGAACAAGTGGTTGTAAGTTGAGGACTACCTGTAGCTGCTGATTTTTATTCGGTGTATGAATTGAACCGGATTCAAAGGATGAGGTCATGAATGACGAACGGGAAGGCGGATATGGGCCCCAAGGGAGTGATCCCCATTTCTTCTTTCAGGGATAATCTTGCCTCCTTAAAATCTTGCTTAGAGCAGCAGGCCTCTGGATAAAAGGCATTAAGTCATGGTTTGCAAGCGTTACGCCTACCAGGAGTTTATCTTAGCTCATGCAAAAGCTCTTAGTCAAGGCGGTTGGCATGCCCCATGTTGAGAGAGGGGGAAGAGTTGTCCTTTGACAAACAAAGCCACACCAGCCTGCATTTTTAGTGTTTCATGTGGATCTCAGCCTGCCTTGATGTTTCCTGGTCATCCAACAAAAAACACATCCGACTTCAGGGGAATAGACATGATCTCATTATATTAGAGGGTTGCAAAGCAAACATATTTTTTTTTGAAGCTAAATTGAACCTAACTACTGTAGTAGAGAAGGGTTGAATCTAAATTTGCCAAAGCATTACTCAGATGTTTGTTCATCCTACTTAACTTTCAACATTTACTGAGGCTCTTAATATCAATTTGCAGGTATTAACAATCTATATTTTCCATACAGGAACTATCAGGTTTTACTACAGATAGCCCTCAACTTACAACCATTCATTTAGTGATCATTCGAAGTTACAACAGCATTGGCAAAAGTGACTTATGACCTCACACTTACAACCATTGCAGCATCCTCTTGGTCACATGATCAAAATGCAGACACTTGAAAACCGGCATGATGGTTACAATGTACCAGGGTCACGTGATCCCCTTTTGTGACCTTCTTAAAAGCAAAAGTAACGGGGAAACTAGATTCACTTAACAACCGTGTTACTAACTTAACAACTGCAATGATTCACTTAACAGCTGTGGCAAGAATGCTTTTAAAATGGTGCAAAACTCCCTTAACAATTGTCTTGCTTAGCCACAGAAATTTTGGGCTCAGTTACGGTCATAAGTCAAGGACTTCCTGTACTTAACCAACTGCTGCTGATCAAATGGCAATGCTAAAAAGAAGCCAATTCAATATTTGTTGCCAAAATTTCTTATCAGTTCATTGTTAGGAAATTCGGGAAAAATCCCTAACGGAGCAACTGGGGAAGCAGCTTCTATTTGTTAACTGTCGCAAGCAGCTGGAAATTGCCACTCCAAGTGAGTAGCCCCTTTGAACTGAATCAGGCATGACTAATATGTCTGAAGTCACGCAACTGCAGAGATAACCCAGGGCAAACATGTCCGTTTATCTCAAAGGCAATTCTTCCCTATCAAATCAATTGACTTATAGCCAGTTAGAAATTCTGCAGAAAGCTGGGTGTGTTTGTGGATACATTTTAATTGTTGATATTTTATCTTACTTGTATGTAACTTTAAATGTCTATTTGGTAGCAAAGGGGATTTATATGTGCATTTAACTAGATATTGGATTTATTTTGAAGGAGATTTTAACACAACCATGTTTTTTGTTTTTACCAGCTCTTCACAGAGGATCATCAGTTCCAGGTATGATCATTAATAGGACATGTTTCTTTTTTAGTTTGCAACACTTTCTAATTACATAAAACCATATAAAGTTTGGGCTGAAAATGGATTAGTATGGGACCCTTCTATCCTAAGTTTGAAAAGTAGCTGCAAACAATATTTGGATCGGCTTAAAATGTTGGCTTCTGAGTTTAAATTGGAAAAATTGGTCTTGCATCATATTGAGGTGATCAGGACTATTTCAGAAACAAAGCATACCCCACCCCCAAATCCCAGTTACCTGCTCTGAAGCTGTACATTTCACCAGCCAATAAGAGAAGAACAAGACTTTACTAATCCCATATGGCTAACTTATTATAGTTTCAATAATTTTAAAGAGAATTCTGGGAGTTGAAGTCCATATATCATAAAGTTGCCTTTGTTGAGAAAACCTGCTCTATCAAGTGAGGGCCAGTTTGGTACGGTGCTTAAGACACCAGGCTAGAAACCAGGAGACTGAGTTCAGATCCCACCTTAGGCATGAAGCTAGCTAGATGACTTGGGCCAGCCACTCTCTCTCAACCCTGGGAAGTAGGCAAGGGCAAACCACTTCCATAAACCTTAGCAAGAAAACCACAGGGACTCACCTAGGCTATTGCCAGGAGTCAACAGTGGCTCCAAGGCACCAAAACAAAATTGGATAACCTCTCTCTAAGTTGCCTTTTAATCTTCCTGTTCCCCATCCAGCATTAACATGTGGAATTCAACGGCCTGTTCTACGGATAGCGGGTGGTGTGAACGCCCAGCCTGGCGAATGGCGGTGGCAAGTCAGTGTCCAATATCGCAACCAACATGTCTGCGGAGGAAGCCTCATTAATGATCAATGGGTTCTCACTGCTGCCCATTGCTTTTACGAGTAAGTAAAAATGGGTATTCTTTTTTCATGCCCCTAATATGCCTCTTAGTCTGACAAGGTTCTTTATACCTCCTAGTGGTTCATCGGTGGCTCAACCTACTTCTGCCACCATAACCCATTGAAGACTGTTTTGATTTAAATTGGCAGTAGAAAGCTGCTTTTGTTACAACATATGTAGTTAGCTTTGGTGCAGCAGAATGAAAAATCCTTCAGACCCCAAAAGGCCAACTTTCTGCAATGCATTCTCTGTAGTTATAATTCATTTAAATATTAGATAGTATCACTTGTAATTTTAGATATTATTACATTTAATGTAATTTTAGACTCTACATAATCATTTAATATAGGTTGAATCCTGGGTCTCACTTAGAGTTGCTAGTTGGATTATTTAATGCATGTATTTTAACTTTGTCTTAGAATTGATTTTGTTCATCATCACACACAGGCACCCTAATATGCACCCATATCCTATTTATCTAACTCTCTGTCTGTCTGTCTAGCTATCCAGTTATCCAGCTAGCTATTCACAGAGTATTCATCTTGTACTAGTCTACAACTGAATTTAATTGAATCAAATGGAATTGATTCAATTGAAGCAGTAGCTGCTAAACACCAAATCAAATCATTGGGCTGGCTACTCTGGAACTAATTCTCCAGAAAGACAGAAGACAGATGTTTTACCTGGGAATGCTTAGGACTGGTAGTTTAGGTGTCCCTGAATGAAAATAATACATATAGTCCTTGACTTACGACCATAGTTGAGCCCCCAAAAGTACCCAAATTTTGATAATGTGATAATGGGGAATGCTACAACGGTCATTAAATGTGAAAAATGGTAATAAGTAACTTTTTTCTGTACCATTGTAACTTCAATCACTAAACAAATGGTTGTAAGTTGGGGACTCAGCTGTAATAAACAGACATTTCAGAATTGTTCGGTGTGTCTTTAGCAAAATGGTCAACTTTTTTCTATCAATTAAAACCCGAGGTATTTACCCCAAGGTAATCTTTCTTCAACCTGAATCTTTCTCCACATTAAAAGCCCTGTGTTTCATCATCCTCAGTCATTTATATTGGCTGTGAATGATGGGAATTGTACAGAATCAGAAACATCAGAATCAGAATAGAGCTGGAAGGTACCTTGGAGGTCATCTAGTCTAGCCCCCTGCTCAAGCAAGAGATCCTACACCATTTCAGACAAGTGACTGTTCAGTCTCTTCTTCAAAGCTTCCGGTGATGAAGCACCCACAACTTCTGAAGGCTGTTTCACTGGTTAACTGTTCTCACAATGAACTGTCCTTCACTGAACTAAGGAAGTTTCTCCTTAATTCCAGATTGCTTCTCTCCTTGATTAATTTCCATCCATTGTTTCTTGTCCTTCTGGGGCTTTGGAAAATAAATTGCCCCCCTTCTTTGTGGGAGCCCCTCAAACACTGGAATATTGCTATCATGTTCCCCTTAATCCTCCTTTTCTCTAGATTAGCCAAACCCAAATCCTGCAATTGTTCTTCATATGTTTTAGTCTCCAGGTCTCTGCATTTTTCCCAAAGTCTCAACATCTTTTTTTGTAATGTGGTGACCAAAACTGGATTCCAGGTATAGATGGTAGAAGGTTGGGAAGGGGATTACAGCTCTCTTATACAGATGTTGTTTTATTTCAGGATTGGGAAACAAATTCACCTGAACCAGTGGAGCGTGATCTTGGGAAGTGTGAGACTGACTGGCAGGAGGGCCCGAGGGTCAAAACGGAATGTCTCCATGGTCATCCCTCACGAAAACTACACCAGCTATGAGACAGGCCATGACATTGCTCTGGTGCACCTGGCCAAGCCTGTGCGCTACACCAGAGACATCGCACCCATCTGCCTGCCCTTCGCTGACCACCGCTTTGCTTTTGGGACCCAGTGCTGGCTGACTGGCTGGGGAGACGTTGCGGCCAACGGTGAATAGAAGGAGTTAGAGTGGAGAGGCCTGGAGGGTCTTCATATCTAGCTTCAGGAATCTGTAAAAGACAGATTTAAAAAAAAAAAGGCCTGGAGTTTCTTATTGACAAGGAGAGGCTTCAGGGCAGAGTTCCCCAGCCTTTCTGGCTTTGTGGACTGGCAGGTTGGGGTTGGGGAAATGGTTCTACACAATTGGTGGACAAGTACATGCACGTGCAGCTCCATCTGCACAAGCGCCAGGCATGCACACCCACCACTCGCCGCAAATGGACCATGCAAGCATGCGCCCAGCCACTGCATGCATGTACGCACTCGCCCACCACTTCCACAGCCCGATTCCAATCGGCTCAAGACCTGGTAGTGCGCCATGGCCCAGGGGTGGGGATCCCTTCTTTAGGTGGGTCCTGGACACATTAAGCGTGGATAAAACTATCACTAGACATCACCTTGCTAGTTACATTATTTCCCTCCCTCTGTGGGAGGAAACCAGCATTCTGATGAAAAGGAAGTCTTCCTCAGTTGCTTAGCGGCCAGGAGCCATAGATGCTGATGGGATTAGTGGCAAAGGGTACAGTCCCATAAAGAATCCCGAAAAACAGGGGCTGAAGCCAGGTCGAAACGAAGTGGAGGTGGACAGTGTCTTGTCTGAGAGACCTCAGGTAGTCCTCAACTTACAACAGTTCATTTAGTAACCAATTGAATTTACAAGGACACTGAAAAAAGTGACTTATGGCCATTTTTTACACAACTGCTGCAGCATCCTCTTGGTCACGTGATCAAAATTCAGTTGCTTGGCAACTGCCTCATATTTATGACAGTGGCAGTGTCCTGGGATCATGTGGTTAACTTTTGTGACAAGCAAAGTCAATGGGGGAAGCCAAATTAACAACTGTGCTACTAACTTAACAAGTGCAGTGATTCATTTAATAACTGTGGCAAGAAAGGCCATAAAATGGGGCAACATTCACTTAACAACTGTCTCACTTAGCAAGAGAAATTTTGGATTCAATTGTCATAAATCAAGGACTACATGCACTAGAGGCAAGAGAATGAGTAAGCATGCTAGTTTTTGTGTGTGTGCATACTTGAGTGTATCTAGAGTGTGTGTATGCATACATTTCAGTGCAAAATGATGTGTTTAGGGCTACCAGTTCTGCATGTTTAACCTTATTCTTTCTTGCCTTCCAGTCCACCTGCCAGACCCCATGAACCTCCAAGAGATAACCATGGACCTCTTGACTGTCGACATCTGCAACTGCATTTACAGCAATCTGCGCAACAGGCGGATTGTCAACCCTGCCTTGCCTGGCATGGTCTGCGCCATGACTCCTGACCGCAAGAGAGGACCTTGTAAGGTTAGTCAAACAACACACTCCCAACCTCCAAAGAATCATGTGCTTGTCTGCTGCTTCCTAACTGTTGGAAACTTGGAATACATGTTGGGATGTATTTTGTATTGCAATGACTACAGAAGTATTTAGCCAGTAGATGGCAGAATTTACAAGTTTGGATCTATCATGCTCTTTTTTTCTAAGTAGAATTTCCTATTTCCGGTAACAGTAACAGAGGTGCTATTCAGCAGGTTCTGACCAGTTCTAGAGAACTGGTAGCAGAAATTTTGAGTAGTTCAGAGAACCAGCAAATACCATCTATGACTGGAGATTTTACAGTATTCTTCCCCTGCCACGCCCATCAACCCATGCCCACAGAACCGGTAGTAAAAAAAAATTGAATCCCATCACTGAACAGTAATATAGTTGATCAGTAAAGCACATGGTGATTGTATTCTTTGTTTGCTCTTATTTGCTCATTGTGCAACCTCACTGTTTCAGCTACTAAATTTAAATATCTTCACATGACTCTCCCTTGATGGACAAGAATTGGTTGTTAATGTTAAAGCAAGAATGTAAATCAAATTTCTAGCCCTCTAGATCTGAGTTTGGGGAGTTCGGCAGCAATATTTGAGAAAATCTTCGAATCCAGGGGTTAGAAAATGGTTCAGGAAGTTGTACAGTTCCCTCCATTTTTTTCCTGTATAGCACAGAGGGAATGCAACGTGGTGAAGAAAAGGAATTCAGCAGGGGCCTTTAAGTATAACTTGAGATAATTAGGTCTAGCTTAATATAACACAATAATGATATTAGAAGGGATCTTCAAGATCTTCTAGTTCAAACCCTGCTCAAGGCAGGAGACTCTATACCATTCCAGACAAACGGCTGCCATTCTCTTCTTTAGAACCTCCAGTACTGTAACACTCACACCTTTTGGAGGCAAGTTGTTCCACTGATTGTCAGGAAATTCTCTCCTTAGGTCTAGGTTGCTTCTCTGCTTGATTAGTTTCCACCTGTTGTTTCTTGTCTTGCCTTCTGGTACTCTGCAAAATAGGTTGACCCCTTCTTCTTCGTGGCAGCCCCTCAAAGATTGGGACACTGCTGTTGTGTCACTGTAGTCCTTCTTTTCACCAGACTAGAGACACCTAATTCGATTTATTCTCCAAAGCACCCGAGGACAGGGCAAGAAGCAATAGGTGGAAGCTCATCAGAGATCAAACCTTAAAATAAGGAGGAATTTTCTAACACCGAGAATAATTAATCAATAGAAAAGCTTGCCTTCTGGAGGTGGATGCCCCTTTGCTGGAGGTTTTCAAGAACAGTTTGGATTAGAAGGCCTCCACGGTCTCTTTCAGCCCTGTATTTCTATGATTAAGACCAACAGATTTCCCAGTTCTGGTGGTTGGTTTTAGCATTTTTCTCATAATTATGAATTCATAATTCTTTTCCTTGGTGCCTATCTCTAGGGTTTTTTTCCCCCTTCATCTACTCCATGCCCTTAACTTAATGTTGTTGCCCATCAAAGGCTGGAAAAGTTTCTAATTTAGCAGTCTGAGGCATCTCCTTGCTACTAGCTCCCACTGGTGGATCATGCAGTAAGAAAACCCGCTAGCAAAGGAGGAGATGGAGCCAGACATCACTGTGCATGCAGAGAAAATGCAAAAAAAATAAATAAATCTCTTTCCACCTAGGGCGACTCGGGTGGCCCGCTGGTTTGCCTGGAGAATGGCCGATGGTTCCAAGCAGGCATCATGAGTTCCTCCATGAGTTGCGCCCAATTCTACGGACCCACCCTCTTGACAGACACAAGAGCCTATAGCAACTGGATCCAGTCTCATGTTGAAGGGGCCTCCTTTGCCAATCAGATTGAGCCCATACCCAACACCACTGACAGTTACATGTGCACAGGTAGGCACCTTCACCTCTCGCTACCTTCACTGACAATCTACTCTTCAAAGCCTCCCTTCAGGATTTTGGTGACGTTCCTTAGTTTCACCTTCTTGCTTTCTGATCCAGCTTTCAGTTCTGCCTCTTCTTTTGTCAGAGAAGGAAGGGTTTAAGCTAACCTTGGATTCCAAATTAACTTCTAAGTCTGTTTGCATTAAGGTAAAGGTAAAGGTTCCCCTCGCACATATGTGCTAATCGTTTCCGGCTCTAGGGGGAGGTGCTCATGTCCATTACAAAGCCAAAGAAGACATCTTTGTAGTCATGTGGCTGGCATGACGCTGTTACCTTCCCACCAAAGTGGTCCCTATTTTTCTACTTGCATTTTTACATGCTTTTGAGCTGCTAGATTGACAGAAGCATTATCCATGCTTAAACCAAAGACTTGCAAAAGTTTGCTTTTGCAATAAATACCAGCTATCAACCAAAAACAGAATCAACGATGCTTACTTTGGCAACCTGAAGATGTGTGGACTGCAACTCTCAGAATTCTCCAGCCAGCCCCATTGAAATCCAGACATCTTAAAATTGCTAATGTTGGGAAACACTGCTCTAACTAGTCACCAATTCTGTATAATTGCCGTTTTAATCACAATGCCAAACTGGCCCTCATCTTACAGAGCAGCATTTCTCAAGCCCAGTAATTTCAAGAGGTGGATTTCAATTCCCAGAATTCTCCAGCCAGCCTGGGAAATGAAGTACACCCATAGTCTACACTCCAATCTTAATGTAAGACCCATTTAGTGCATCAGAGAGAAGAGGGGATTGATAGCTCTTCCTACACTGAACTACAATCTCCACTCCTACTAACGATGTTGCTTGGGATGATGGGAACTGGAACACAATCACATTTGGAATGTCACAGGATCCCCATCTGATTATTGCTTCTTATCTGGGCATATCATGGCTTAAAGCTGGATGTTCTCATTGGTGCCTTTTTTGTGACAGGAATTATATGGCATATTTATTCATCCAAGCATCCAAAGGCCACATCCAGGAGGAATAATTCCTTCTGTATGGAATAGTAACATTTTGGCTATGGTTGGTTTGAAAACCAGAAAAAATGTTTTCCCTTTCACAGCAACTCAACCGGCCTCTTTTGCTTATTTTATTTCCCCTTCAATATATACACTGTGAAAAACTTTGGTGTCATCATGTGTGCGTTGCCTGGAGGGATTCAGGGTTCATGTCTGGCACACCCTTGCCAATGTGGAGTAGGTGATGATGGATGTAGCCATATATATGTGTGTACTGTACCTGTTGTCTTTGGAGACATAAGATGAAGTGACACCTCATGTTACAGGTAGACCTCCTCTTACACCCATTTGTTTAGTGACCGTTCGAAGTTACAACGGCACTGAAGAGAGTGACTTGTGACTGTTTTTCACATTTATGACCATTGCAGAATCCCCATGGTCACCATTTTGGACACTTGGCAACCAGCAAGTACTTGTGACGGTTGCAGTGTCCCAGGGGCACTGCATGTGAAGCTAACATTGACAAGCAAAGTCAATGAGGAAGCCAGATTCATTTAACAACCGGGTTACTAACTTAAGAACTGCAGTCACTCCCATAACAACTGTGGCAAGAAAGGTCATAAAATGAGGGAAAGCAACTGTCTTGCTTAGCAACAGAACTTCTGGGCTGAATTGTGGTCATAAGTTGAGGACTACTTGCGTTCTTTATTGACCTCCAGGCTGTGGGGTCCTGAAACACGAGAACAGACAATGGCCTTGGTATACAAGCCTACAGTACGAAGGAGAGCATGCCTGTGGAGGCACCTTAATTGGGGAGGACCGGATCCTGACTGCTGCCCAGTGCTTCATTGGGTGAGTGAAAGATGGGAGTGAGGCAGCCTCTGAGTAGGGAAGAGCCCATGTTGGTCAATATCCACATTTATCTCAGTGACTTTGGATTAGATCGGAAAACTTCTTTTCAACTAATGGTGTCCTTTGAACGTTTTCTCTAGCTTAGCTAACCTGACCCATTCATTTCTCTATATTGTAAACATGAATGAATCTGGCACTAAGCCTCAGCCATGGTTCTTGATGACTATTTATTTGTATCCTGCCTTTATTATTTTTACAAATAACTCAAGGTAGCAAATGTATCCAACCCTGCGAGGTAAGTTAGGCTAAAAGACTGACTCAAAGTCACCCAGCTGGTGTTCGTGGCTAAGCCAGGACTAGAATTCCCCACCTCCCAGTTTTCTAGCCTGGTGCCTTAACCACAAACCAAACTGACTGCGGTAGAATCCCAACTCCCAGAATTTTTGGCCTGACTTTACAAAAATCAGAACATCTGGAAAACCTCCCTCTTTATATTAAATCAAACCACCAAACTGCAGTCCAAAATTATTACAGACAAGATTTGACTTATACTTGTTTAATGACCATTCAAAGTTACAACAGTGCTGACAAAAAGTGACATGACCGGGCCTCCTACTTATGACATTGCAGTGTTCCCATGATCACATGAACAAAATGTGGGCACTTGGCAACCAGCACATTGTTACGACGATTGCAGGATCCTAGAATCATGTGATCACCATTCGTGACTTTCCTGCGGGCTTCCAGCAAACAAATTCAATGGGGGAAGCCAGATTTGTCAACACCTGCCCAATTCGCTTAACAATCACATATATTCACTTAAAGACAGGGGCAAAAGAGGTTGTAAAGTTGGATGTGATTCACTTAATGTCCACATTGCTTAGCAATAGAAGCTCCAGTCCCAATTGTCATAAATGGAGGACTGTCTGTATTCAATCCAATCTGATTGCAGAGATTTACTTTTTTTGTTTTACTCGGGCATCATTCTTTCTCCTTCTGCGTGATGTTTTCCAGGCGCCAGGAAACGGAAGGCTGGGAGGTATTTCTGGGAGAACAGCTGGAAGGAGGGCAACAAATATGGCGAGAGAAGAGGACTGTCCAAAACATTGAGCTCCATGGTCTCTACGTTGACATGATGGAAGGTTACGACATTGCAATAGTCACTCTGGCACAACCTGTGGTGTTCAACGACAGCATCTGGGCCATTTGTGCCCCATATGCTACCCACCAGTTCCCCTTTGGCTCTACTTGCTGGACCCGTGGGCGGAGAATTGGTAAGTTGTAATCTGATACAAGATATGGAGAAAAGAGAGGTTGTCACAACTCAGGATGCTGCCTAATGTTGAAGAAATCTATGGTGCTTTGCAGGAGAAGGAGGAAAGGAGATGAGAAATTTAGAATGACTCCCCCCCCCTTTTTTTAAAAAAACAACAACAACAACAACCCTGTTATCCCTTGCATTGGGGTGGAGTTGGGGCGACTGAATGGAACTGAGCATTTACTGGCTGGATGTCCTTCCTGACACCTATGCAGAGCTCACATCAGATATTTTCTCTTTGTACCCAGAGACAGAAATATCTACCTAGGAGTGGACTCACAGCCTCCTGATTGTGAGGCAAGAGCTCCATCTCTAGGCCACGGTGCTGCTCATTCAGAATTACTATAATTATTCAACAATATTGTTTCCTCTTTATCCAGATGGCCGTGGGATGCCAAGCCCTCTGCAAAGTGTGGAGGCAAAAATCCTTGGCCCAAAGAATTGCAACTGCCTCTACAATGCATCGAGTGAGCCTGGGAGAGAAACTCCCATCACATCCGATATGATCTGTGCAGCACCACATAACAGATCCATGCGTTGTGAGGTAAGGAATTGCCATGTCTCAGCTTAGAGGTCATCATAAATGATATAAGGCGGGGGGTGGCGGGGGTGGGGGACTGGGTTATCTCTCTAAAACAAAAAATTGTCCAGGTCTTTTTTCTTGTATATGGCTCCATTCATTAATAAGAGTTTTAATGCAATAAAAAATTCTACTTTAGCCTTTTCACATTTCCCAACAGTGGCACGTTTTGACAGATTTGGTAACATATGCACATCTACATGGGTGCTTTCTGCAAAATGGGAGTGAATAGTTCTTACTTTCAGAAGGGACTGCATCCCATTTTGGAAAAAAATAACATTTTTTTTTTCTTCTAAACATTAGTGGTGTTTCCTCATTCTCCTGCATGGATTCCATTGAATAGGGGAACAAGAATTCTTGTTTCAGTGCAGTTTTTAGAGAATTTTGAATTTTAATTTCCTCTTAATTCCAAAATCTAAATCTCTCATCTGGCTGAAATTTGTTCTTTTATTACAAGAGTGAATTCAGGAGCACTCTGAGGTTAGCCAGTGATACAGCAGTTGTCTGGTGTACTATGAAGAGACATTACTGCCAGAATGAAGTTTTCATCTGTGGCTTAGAATCAATGGAATCAGAGCAAGGACCTTCACCCTGACCATTCTCACAAACAATTGTTATGAGCAGTACAAAGCCAGAAGACTGAATTTATGAAAAGATTTGAGATTTCTGGATTCTCCCTGAAAGAAAAATGAAAGGAGCAAATATATTTGACTTAGATGTCCCCTATGTTTTAAAATTTAATACTTGATTTAAATGTGGCCTGTTTTCTTAGATGTTTCAAAGATAAATTATGTTGAAAATGGTTCACTTAAACAGTTGTGAGAACTTTTTTTATGCAAATCGATCAGCTTGGGGTAGACTAACTCCAGGGAAGTTATAATTCCTTGCCACAGTAAAAAGCCAATGGAAAAAACACCCTAAACATTAAATAGTTAAAAAACTATTTTGTTGTTGTTAGTTGCGAAATAAGTGTTCGACCAATCGTGACCCCATGGACAACGTTCCTCCAGGCCTTCCTGTCCTCTACCATCTTCTGGAGTCCATTTAAGCTCATGCCTACTCCTTCAGTGACTCCAACCACCTCATTCTCTGCCGTCCCCTTCTTCTTCTTTTGCCCTCAACTGTTCCCAGGGTTAGGCTCTTCTCCAGTGAGTCCTTCCTTCTCATTAGGTGGCCAAAGTATTTGAGTTTCATCTTCAGGATCTGGCCTTCTAAAGAGCAGTCGGGGTAGATCTCCTCTAAGACTGACCAGTTTGATCGCCTTGCAGTCCAAGGGACTCGTAGGAGTCTTCTCCAGCACCAGAGTTCAAAGGCCTCAATTCTTTGGCGCTCAGCCTTTCTTATGGTCCAACTTTTATTTAACTAATAACTATTTAAAGTTAAATTATATTTAAATAACTATTATTTATGTATTATTAACTGATGTTCCCCAACAGAGATAAAAGCAAAAATCAGGGCACAAACCATTATTTTTAAAGCAGTGGAGCTGTGCATCGTCTGTGCTGCTGAAACATTCAATACAGGGCCACTCTAAGGCTTTTTCCTAACTTTAATTCAATAATCCAATTCTTTATGCTGATTGGAGATGAAAACCAGAAATTCTATCTCAGATCTTTTCCTCTTTTAAGCCATTGAAACTCAAAATGTAACCTAAGAATTTTCACCCATTTTGTCACATAAAAGACACAGAAAAAGTATTATTGTTGATAGTACCATTAATGGAGCTCTTAAGCAAAATAGCATCCTACTGACCTTATCTAGGCATGTAAGGTAAACAGGAGTAGACCTAGTTAGGTGACTGGTGGAATTCCACCAGGGAGTGCCAGTAAACTATTATGGAAAATTGAAAAAATACCACAGAATAAGGCAGAATAAATAAAAGATTCCTCAACTCTTATTTTACACATACTTAGAATTTTTGAACACAAGCAGAAGCTATATTTGAAACTAATAATCAAGGAGAATTAAGATTTACAACTGCTGGTATTAATTTTTTTCTAGAATCAATATCGCAGATAACCTAAATAGCATCATTTATTTCTGCCTGCGTTACCTATGCTTCCTCATGATTTGGAAATATTGCCCAGCTTCCCATTTTGTTGGTTTGAGATGGTAATCTTTCTATTCTTGAATCTCTAGGTAAGCATCGGAGACCCCTTGGTTTGCAGCCACAATGGGGTGTGGTTCTTGGCCGGCATTTCCAGCTTTGGCAATGGATGTGGAACTATAATTCGTCCAGGGGTTTTCACATTCGTAAAGAACTATGAAGAGTGGATCATGAAGGCTGCCTGGTCAGCTTACTACAATGTGCAAAAGCCCCCTCTACCAAAGGCCACGGATAAGGAGACTTGCCTGACTGTATAGCCTTCTTCTAGCTAGCAAGCTCATAAATCAGGATTTCTTTTACAATGAAGGATTGAAAAGCAAAGTTTTGTTTCATCTTATGATCTGTATGTACCTCTGTCTTGAAGCAACATGAATGTTGGTGTAACAAAGAAATGTCTACAAGAGTGATCACACCCTGGGAAATTTTCTAATCAAAATTGCATCCACTTGCTCATGTTTCTCAACTGTGACAACTTTTAAGAAGTGTGGACTTCAATTCCCAGAATTCCTTGCCACGTGTCTTAAAGCTGACAAAGTCAAGAAACACTGCCTTTCTCATTTCATTTTTTATTTTTGTTAGTATGTGGTACTCCATCCCTGATCCTGAAATATCGGGAGATGGCAAATATTTATTTCCCTTTTTTCCACCTCTAAATAAGCCTGGGACTAAACCAGGGGTCCCCAAACTTGGCAATTTTAAATTTAAGAACTGAAGTCCGTAAGTCTTAAAGTATGCCAAGTTTGGAGACTTCTGGACTAAACTGATCAAAACTGACTTGCCCAGTTTTAACACTCCTAAAAATCCATTTTCAAAGGCTGTAAAGTTTGTATAGTCGTGTCTTGCTTTTTAATGCTTTGGAATTTTCTTATCATTAAAACCAAAACAAAACAGACCACACACACTAAGTGACCTGTGTACTAAAACTGAGCTTTCTAGTGTTAAGTACAGTCTTATCAATTAGTTACAGACAGTCCCATACAATTTACATTTTGTTTCAGTGACTATGATTCTCTAGTATCTCAAAAGAATTATTAGACGATTGAGACTGACATACTTCTTCCAATGCATTAAACCATGATATGGCTTGTTTCCTTCAAATTTAGGTATTCTACAAACTTAACTGCTGTGGTTTATGGCTTAGCCTTTTGAATAAACTCTTAGGGGTGGTTTGTTATATTGTGTATGCCATGATTACATGTGTATGCCATGATTTGAGCCGAGACTACAGCTTCCTTGGCATTTGTAGCCAAGCTAGGAATCCATGTTTCTTGCCCCACTTTTGCTTTCTTTGAGCCTCAGCAATTCACTACAAATCATCTTTATTTTGAAAGCAAGATGTGGGTAGAATCTTGGGTTTCTCTTGTGAATTAAAAACCATCCAAGCTAATCTTGAGGGTTTTTTCCCCCCAAGATGATAAAACTGACATGGATTGGTTGCTGTATTTATTTTCAATGTTCCATTTAATGAAGTAAGTTATTTAAATATCTCTAAACTCTCTCGGGCCTACATCTCATTATTTGTACACGATAACATTATTGGTTGTACAGGTTTTAATTGTTGGGAACCAGCATCTTGTACTGTAGAAAGCATTTGATTCTTGATCTTTTTTTAAAAACATCTCCCCCATGCTGATTTATAATATGCTATACTTTTCTATCTCTCTGTGTGTATATATACATATTTATATTTGATAACATGTATTTATTATATTTTGTTTTTCTATTAAATTACTGTGAAAATTTGTTTGGAAAAATGGAATATAAACAGCAATAAAAGAAAGGCAAGCATTACCATTGTTCATAATTAAATATTGCCACAGACCATATTACAGATGGTCCTCAATTTAATGACCATAATTGAGCCTGGAATTACAGGTATAAGTTGTGGTCGTTAATCAGGTCACCATGTGACTGGACCTGATTTTATGTCATATTTTCAGGCAGTCGTTAAATGAATGTTCTGGTTGCCAAGTAAATACATTTTACCCAATGGGCATTGTTTTTTGCATTTTTCTTTTTTATGTGACTACAGGAATATGTGCATGTATGTCTGCAACCACCATAACTTCAAAACCAGGTTCCAAGTAATTTTTTTTTTTTTTTTGGGGGGGGGGGGGGAGTCCATTGCAACTTTGGTCGCTATACAGCCATTCGTAATTCGAAGACTACCTATCATCCTTAACATGTATCCTCCTCAATACAGTTCAGCAAGATGTCTATTCAGTAAGACCATTTCCCTGTTTATGGACCCTTCAAGATAAGCTTAAAATTACAGAAGACCTCTGTTAACAGAAGGGCAGCTTTGCACATCTATCTAGTCAGTGACAATTTGGCGCAAAATTCAAATTTGCCCAAATCTGAACAGATTTGAGCTTTTTGCTCTTCTTCAGAAAACCTAATCTTAAGGCGCCTTTGAAAACAAGCAGTGGAAAGCGATCACTTGGATCAAAGGACTCCTTAAAAGTCACTTTGGAATCACACCTGCACTACCATCCTCTTCAAGTTATTCCACGGGCTTTTACTTATGAAATAATTTGGGGTTAGAATTGAGGCTCCCTCCCTAGTCACAAATTAGGCCAGGGCTTAAAACGTATTTTTTTTTACTAGGGCATTTCTTAGCCTAATCATTTTATATATTCCATCAGAAAACATATCTACCATCTGGATCCCTTAATGCAGGGGTCCCCAACCTTTTTTGTTCCTTGGACCAGCAGTGGCGGCTTTGGGGAGTGGTTTCATGTGTGTAACCTAAATCCTACACATGTACAAACTTTAGGTGCTCACCCACTTCAGCAGCCCGTTTTACAACATACCGCAGACTGGTAGCAGACAACAAGCCAGGCACTGGGTTCCTGCATTGATGAGAGCCAGCAGATCTCTCTCTTCTCTATTTATTTATCTATCATCTAATCGTTCATCTTTTATCTATCTAATCATTCATTTTTCATCTATGTATCTATTCATCTTTCATCTAATTATTCATCTATCTAATCATTCATCTTTTATCTATTTCTCTATCTCTTATTCATCTAATCATCTTTCATCTGTCTATCTATATCATCATCATCATCATCATCAACCTAATCTATATATAAAAAACCCTAAATAAATAATTGCAAAACAACTGATATTCAAGATGTTAGAAAATGGTTGATCCAGTCAGTGTTACAGAATGCCATAGGCCACAAGGAAGCTCTTAGAAATGGATCCCATTGATTTCACGTGGCTTTGCAAATACCACCTTATTCAACACCCCCTCAAGTGTTGGAAAAGAAACATTCCAAAATGGGAAGCCCTGCCGGAAAGTGACCTTTTGTGGACTCGAATCAGCAAGATGACAAAAAGGAAGTCTAATGCCAGGCAATGGCCATTGCCATGAGCAACTTGGTAGGCCTTGGATTCACCTAATGGTGGACTTTGCTGCTTTATAAGATCAAACTAGCCTATCTGTCTGCTGCTTTGCTGAAGACCTCAGCTAGCTTGCCTAAAAATAATTTGACATCCCACACTCCTATTCAAAATATCAGAAAAAGCACTTTCATTTTAAAAAATTAAACAATTTATTTGCCATTGAGGTGTTTCACAGCGCAGGCCTGGGCACCAGATAGCTTTCAAAAGAAATTCCCAGGCTGCTAAACATAGTTAGGAGAAGTCTTCCTCTAATTGGGGAAAAATAGCCTTTTCTTGCTTGGCAACCTGAACTAGAGCACCAGTTCCTGCCAGACAGTGTGCTGGCTGGGGATGATAGTCTAGCCCATCCAGAAGGTCTCAATTTGGGAAGACTGAGGAGCACAGTATCAGTTATCTGCCCATCTCTATGAGGGCAGTGGCAGCTAATGGTTTGAGAGCAAGTCAGAACAGCAAAATATGAAGATTTGAAAATGTCTTCTCCTTTGATTTTGCCTTTCTTCATCAACCCCCCCCCCCAAACATATAAACACACACACACACGCACACACACACACACACACACACACCACCTGGTCAGGAGCTTTCAAATCTAATAACATCAAATAACGTCTTGAATCGTATCCCATGCCTCTGTTTAAGGAGAAGGGGAAGCATTTGAAAATGTACGAAACTCAAAATTTATTTTCCTTTTGTGAGGTTTCTGTCTTACTTACTTTTTTTTTTTTTTTGCTGAACCAGAGCTAAAATGTCAGTTATCCAAAACAGCAGCATAAACAGGACTTGATCGTCAACATTCTGGAGTTATTGGGCATCGTAAGGATAAACATTGAAGGCAGGAAAAAAAAAACAGATTTCAGCTGGCAAAATAAGCCAATACATGTCCCTCCCACGCCCTATGAAAAATATTACCCGCCTATGTTAGAAAGTCTATAAAACTTTAATCACAAATGAAGAGCTCTTTTCCTACTTAAAAACATTTATTCTGCCACTGAACCAAATTCTACCTGAATGAGGACAAAATTGGGGGCTGGCCTCAGAGCAATAGTGAAACAGGTACCCATGCCAACCCCAAAACAGAAGAAGATAGCCTGGTGATGGTCAAGTTTCTAGTCCTCTTGTTTAATTTTTTAATGTCTTCATAATCCCACCTACTACATCCCTATAGTCTAAAAGCTGATCCCTATATACCATTTACAAATTCTAGGGATTATGAGGGTGACAGCTCTTTAATGCACCTCCAGTAACCTCTGGCTGTGCCTTGCAGAACAGGGAAAGCATGCTAAGATGCTTTGTTTCAAGGCATCTCCATTCTGGCTGGTCTTTAAAAAAAAAAACAACTCAGGGTGTTTGAAAAACAAGCCCAGCTAATTTGGTTCCCTTCTCTGTTCCCCCCTCCCAGCTGTAGAGAAATCCCCCCAGGGGTTAGAATCCCTTCTCTGCAATCTGATCTGCATCCAGATCAACACTAAACCCTAAAGGGGTCCAAGTATTCTGGGCAAAACAGAATTAAGGAATCAGCCCACTCACAGTACTCCAAGCGTTCTCTCAAGCTGAGATTTCCCCCACCCCCCACCCCCCATCATGACAACCAAAACAAGGAAATCTTCCCTTCCTGCTCGGTTGCCTTTCCAGTGTTGGACCGCCAGGCCTATTATCCTGAGACACCTTGCTGCTGCTTAGCATTGTTAGTCTTGCCTGTTGAGAACTGAAATGGGGAGAAATAAGGGGCATTGTTTCATATTGTGCAGGATTAGGTTTAGTGGCTCTTCCTCAGGGGAATTCAGGTCCAGACTGGATGGGAGAGTAGGTAAATGCCACCTTTAACAGAAGGGTTTTCTTCTAAAAATAAATTAAAAAAAAAACATCAGGTGAAGAAAGGGGGCCTGATACCATCTGTGCCGAACCCTGTGCAAATCTCATGAAGAACAAGATTAATTAGCTTTCCACACCAGCTAGGATCCCAATTATTAGGCTTATGCTAACAATATTATTTATGTTGGGAAAGAACTCCCCCCACCCAAAAAAAATCTGGCGTCTTAAAGGCAAAGTGGCAATTGAAGAGAAATTGAAGAGAAGTTAAGTGCCTTCCATGCCGCCTCAAAATGGTGGAACCAAACCGCATCTAGATGCAGCAGAGCTCAAAAAGTCGAGCGCCACCTTCTTCAAATTTAAAAGTAACCCAGATGCTTCTCCAAATCTAATCCAGTTTGGCGTAAAGAGAAATGAAGAATGTGAGATCGAGTCTGGCCATGAAAATCACCCTAAGGGAGAGTTTGAATCATAAAGTGATCTGTGTGCATTGCTGTTTCTTCCCCTTCAGCTGGGCACCCCAGGTCTTCTTCCAAAGAGATGGACAGGTGGCTGCCCCACTGACCAGAGAGATCTGGTTTCTGTATCCCAAGGGATGGTGAGGATAGCTACAGACAAGAAGTTAAGAGCTATATTCCCAAAGCAGGCTTCTTCCAGATGCACTTCATGGCAACACCCCTCATTCTCAGCCAATATGGTGGCAGGGGGTGGTGGGCCAACCCATCTGGAGAATGCAAGAGGGAGATCAAAAGGGGGACGAGGAAAATGGAATCTTCCTCACAAGAGATAGGCCTATAAGAAGTCCAATTAATTTCGGGAGATAAATGGTTTTTCTTGATGACTCATTTACAAAATCTCCAATTATTTTTTGCTCAAGGCCTATTCTGATAAATCACAGCCAGCAGAGGTTCTGTCAAGGAGAGCTTGCTTACCCACATAGACCTAAAACTTTCAGTCAAGTTTCACATAAACCCTAGTACCTTTTCAGTGAATATTTCAGAATCCGTTTTGAAAGCGATCAAAACCTATGTCTTTTAAACTGTTTTTTAATGTTTCCTTGCATACCAAGGAAACATGTACGTATTTTAGTGAAGGAGGTAGAATTTTTTTTAAAAAAAGATTACTCCACACCAAGAATTATTGTCTTCTTCTTTAAGTCTTTGTTCAAGAACGACACTGAGACCCACCCCCAGTATTCTTGTTTTTCCTACGACAGTACTTTGCCATTAATAATAATAAAAAAAATCTCAGCAATTTAAATACTATATGCAGCTTAAACATGGAGTTAGCTACTCATCTGACGCCCCAAAAGGATAGAAAACAGCTCAAAAATGCAAATAGGAGAATGTCGATGCACAATCCTCTGAAGGTCCCAAGGGTGCTTAAAGTCAGTTCCCCAAAGAGGATCCAAGACACAAAAGATAGGACATATTTCCAAAGGACGCCACAGAGATGCATTATATTATGTGCTCAACGTAATATTCCATTAGAGGAGAAAACCCACCACCTTCCTACCTCGCCTGCTCTCTTCCCTGCTAATCCCAGCTCGATTTTTCTGATCTATGTTCTAAAAAAAGAAAAGCCACGGAAACACGGACCCAGTTTTCCTTGTCTTATCTCCCATCCACGACCAAGTTTAACCGTTCCCTTTTTTCCAATGTGTGGACCCGATGCTTCCCATGAAGCCAGCTTCCCACCCAGACCTCGACCGTTTCCCTGTAATTAGATCTCCCTGTCATACAATCCTGGGTGCACCTCCCCCGTGCGCCCTCAATTCCCTTCCCCTGTGATACTGCCCTCAAGGGTATGGTGCCCATCAACCTTGGTGTGCAACAACTGGTGCTGCTGGAAGGTAAGGTGGTGGAAGAACCTCTTCGAGCAGACAGGGCAGGAGAAGGTCTCTTCTCCCTCAGGCCTGCCGTGGACCTTCGTGTGGGTGGCCAACTGCTTAGCCGTCCGGAAGGCCTTGCCACAATGGGGGCATCGGTGACGTCTCTTGTCCGTGTGGATGTGAAGGTGGTTCTTGAGAGCCAGAAGGTTGTAGAAGTCCCTCTGGCAAGAGGGGCAGTGATAGAGGCCGGTCGCGTGGGCCTTCTTGTGATTTAGCAGACTACCAGGATGGCGGTACGTCCGCTCACAGCTATGACACTTGTAAAGCTGGTCCTCTGGCAGCTTGCCTTTAGGACTGTCCCCTTTTTCCTCAGCTTGATGCCTTCTTAGATGCTGCATCAGGTCCCTGGAAGCCTGGTAAGCTTTGCCGCAATCCGAGCACTCCAAACGCTTCTTTGCACGTACACGACTGTGGTTCTTTTGGGAGGCACGGTTGCGAAAGCGTTTGGGTCGCGGCTGGTTCTGCAAAGTCCCGACAGGTGCCTCTCCGGGGTTGGTCCCCTGATCTCTTTCGCAATCCGTTCTAGTTCTTTCAGTCTCTTGCCCTGGCATGACCTTGCTGAAAGAATGGGGTCGGCGCTGGTGCCTCTGCAGTTGCCGTTGCCACTTGAAGGCTTTGCCGCAGTCGGGACACTGGTGACGTTTCACTTCGTAGTGGATGCGCTGGTGGTTCTTCAGGGACATGAGATTGGGGTAAGCCTTGCTGCACAAGGGACAGGGGAAGTGCCCGACCTTGTGGCTCTTCTGGTGGTTGAGCAAGCTGCCTGCGTGGCGGTATGAGCGTCCACACTGCGCACATCTGTATGGACGGTCTTCAGGATCTGGAAGTTGCTTAGCAGGGGCCGGAAGAAGCGGGAATGTCTCTGCCTTGCTAGCTCGCTTGGCCCGAAGGGGCCTCTGATGGACCAAGTGGAAAGCAGGCTCTGGCCTCCTGTCCCGATGTATGCGCTGGTGGCTGGCCAGTTGCTTTTGGAGCCGGAACGCCTTGGGGCACTCAGCACATCGGTAGCGTTTGGTTTCAAAATGGGTGCGGTTGTGGTTTTTGAGGGCCATGAGATTGTAGAACTGCTTCTGGCAAATGCTGCAGTGAAAGAGGCCTGTCTTATGGGTCTGTTTGTGGTTGATGAGGCTGCCGGCATGCTTGTAGCTGCGTCCACAAACATCACACTGGAAGGGGCGTTCCAAGAGAGAGTCTTCCTCTTCCGCCTGAGGGCCCTTCTCCTCTGCTGCTCCTTCTTCCTCTTTCTCTGTTGTCTCCATTTCCTGTATTGCTTGGTGGGGCTCCATCTTCTCATTCCCTTCTCCAGGAACATCACATTCCTGAGCTTCTCTGCTCTTTGAAAGCCCTGAGCTCAACTCTTCCCCTTGTTCCACTCTTTCTTTTCCTATAGGACAGGCAAGGAAAGAATTGCTTGGAGGAGCTTCTCCATTTTGGGAAGCACCACACGGCTCATCCTTTAGCTTCTCGTAAGTGCAAGGCAGCCCCCTTTCTGCAGCAGGGATCAATTGTCGGAGTTGGGGTACGCTGCCGTTCATCTTGCATCTTGGGTGGTTTCGAAGGTGATTCCGATAGGCAGACAAATTACGGTATTGCCGGCAACAGATGCTGCACTGGTAATCTCCAATCAGGTGGATCTTTTTGTGATTAACTAAGCTGCCACCATGACGGTAGGTCTTGCCACACTGACCACAGGCATAAGGCCGGCTGTCCAGCAGGTCATCAGCAAGAGGAAGTGTTTCCACCAAAGGTGCCGGTGGATGGGGCGGGTCATCCTCCATGCGTGGAGCTCGCCGGAGCTGGATAGAGGTATCGGCCAGGGCTGCTGCTTTCTCTTCCAGATGCCCGTTGCTGTGCTCTTCCAAGCTGGCCATATCGTCGAATGTCTGTCCACAATAACCACAGATGTGGGAGAAGAGCTGCTCCTCCTCAGGATCCCCTCCACCATCCAGCTGCTCTTCGGTTTCCCTTTTCAGCACATGAGGACTGTCACTCCGGCCTTCGCCCTCCTCATGCAAGAGGCTGTGGTGATCCTGAAGGCTCTCTTCGCTGGGGAAGATCATGCCGCAGAGGCTGCAGAGGAATGGCTGCTCCTCAGTGTGGCCTTCACCCATGGGGTTGTCCTGGCCAGATGCTGTGGCCTTGGCGTGCCCGTGGAAGTGGTGTTTTAGAGCGAGGAGGGTGGGATACTCTTTAGGGCAGAGAGAACATTGGTAGATGCCAGCTTGATGGGTCTGCCGGTGTTCAATTAAGTTCTTGGCCTGGTGAAAGCCCAACCCACACTGCTCACAGAGATAAGGAAGGCCTTCAGAATCGTCAGGCAATGGGGAAGACGCTTGTGACTGGGTTTGCCAATCATTGGCTGCGGCATCTTTTTCCAGAACACTGCAACTCTCTCTCAGCTCTTCTGCCAAAGATAAAGCCATAGGCATGGCGGCGCCAGCTTCAGTGTCAGTGTCCTCATTTGTGGTCACCAGTGTCTCGGACAGTCCTCTCCTGGGCCTCTGATGGCCACGCAAGTGACTTTTGAGGGAGGCCACGTTTTGGAAGTGTTTGCTGCAAAGTGAACAGCTGAAGTCACCTGTCTGGTGCGTCTGCTTATGATTGATGAGGCTTCCTGAATGCCGGTACGACTTGCCACACAGCTCACACTCATAGAGACGCTGGATGGGGACAGGTGGCTCGGTTCCTTCCACCACCCCTTCCAAACGCTCCCTTCCATTGCCGTGTTGCACGGTGTGAGTCTGCAGGCTAGCCACAGTAGGGAAGGCCAACCCGCACTGGTGACAAATCTGAGGCATCTCTGAGGCTGGGAGGATGTCCTCAGCCACTGTTGCCCCATTCTCCAGGGCTTCTACGTCCTGTTTAATAGTCTGAAGAAGATCTGCTTCCTGAGAGTGAAGGACGCCAAGCCTAGACACCTCGGCCGCCTCAATGTCCTCTGTGCAGGGCAGATGGCGTAGCTGATGAAGCTGGAATTCGGCCTCTTCCTCAAAACTCTCTCCGCAATTACTGCAAGTCAAGCCGTCCCCTAATTCTTTGCCCCGCATGCGCGCAGCCCGCAAATGCACGCGGACGTGGTTCCGGAGTGCCATGAGGTTGGAGTATTGCTTGGGGCAGATGGAGCACTGGAAGATTCCTGTTTGATGAGTGTGGCGATGGTTCACCAGACTGCCACGGTGGCGATAACTCCTCCCGCAATCTTCACACCGGTAGGGTCGTTCTTCCTCCCCGAGAGTCCTTTCTTCCTCTTCCTTGGGACAGGCAGCTGGTCCACTCCAGGCGTCCGAGGGCTGGGTAGGGCAGTTGTCAGGGTAGTCCTGTGCTTTCGATGGGTCCAGGATCCCAGACGGGTGCTGGGAAGCCTCTTCTGGGGCCGAGGAGTTGAGCTTGGACCTGAGGTGGACCCGCAAGTGGTTCTTCAAGGCGGCCAAATTGTACAACTGTTTTGAACAGACGGTACAACTGTACACCCCAATCTGATGGCTCTTCCGGTGGTTAATGAGACTCCCCGCATGGCGGTATGTCCTCCCACAGTCCCCACAGCGGAAAGGGCGCTCTTCAGACATGGGAAAGCCTTCCTCGCTCTTCAGACGGGCTTCCCAAGCTTCATTGGAGCTGGGGGCTGCTTGGGAAGGGCTACTGCCCTCAGCCTCTTCTTCTTCATCTGCCTCCTTTGGGTAAAGGCAACTGTGTTCCTTTAATTCCTCCTCGTCAGCAAAGGTCCCACCGCAGCGGACGCACAGCTCTCCATCTGGATTACAGCGTTCTCCACCACCGGCCTTGGAGGTATCCTTGAGGCTGCAGGGAGCCCTGTCCCCGAAGCCTGTGCCCACAGGAGGAGGCTGATAGATGTCCAACTTTGCTGATGTTTCTATCGAGTCCTCCTCCCAAACATCATGCTCCAAATCCTCCCAGGCTGACGGGTCTGTGGATTTGCTCTCTTCCTGGCTGTGGGCTTTCTGATGACTCAGCAGCTCCGAGGGCAACCGGAAGGCTTTGTGGCAAAAGCGGCACTTGTAGGGCCGATACTCCGAATGGAGACGGGCGTGGCTTCTGAGGGCCATGAGGTTGGAGAACTCCTTGTAACACATGGCACACTGATAGACCCCCAGAGTGTGGCTCTGTTTGTGGTTAGTCAAGCTGCCGGGGTGTTTGTAAGCTTTATCACACTGGTTGCATTTGTAACGGCGCTCATCCTCCATGGCAGCCAGCAGCCCAGACTCTTCCCCATCCTCCTCATGCCCCGGGAGCAGATCCTGCTTCTCCTCTTTCATTTTGATTGGAAACTCCTGCTGAGAATAGTCAGCTGGCACCACCGACTCAGCAATGTACTTCTCCAGGTTGGACAACAGGCTCCCACTGCTGCCTTCCATCCCAGAACGGGAATCAACATCTGGAGAAGACGTACCTTGGCCCCTTTGGAAGCTGTAACTCCCATCCCTCTGGCCTTCTTCCTGCTCCTGGGTGGCCTGAGCTGGACAGTGGTGGCTTGGAAGCTGGGATGAGACTCTGAAGCTTCTGCCGCAGTCTGGGCATTTGTGACGCTTCTCTTCCGTATGAGTGCGCAGGTGACTCTTCAGGGACATGGGGTTGGAGAAATCCTTGTGGCACAGCAGGCAGCGGAAAAGGCCTACCTCGTGGGTACGGCGGTGATTCACCAGGCTGCCGGCGTGGCGGTAGCTCCGCGGGCACTGCTTGCATTTGTATGGCCGTTCCTCTTGACCCATAGGCGGCTCACTGCTCAGAGCAGCATCGCCCTCAGCCATTGCTCACGTCCAATGTCCTTCTTAATCCTGTCTCTCTTTAAAGAGGGATCCACAGGCATTCAGACATACCCCTCAGTCTCATTGCAGAGCTTCAGGTCCCCTCTTCTCACCCAACCATTCCAAGACCTGCAGAGAGAAAGAGGGGCAGTAATGAGGAGGAATCCCCGTGATCAGAGTGAGCATCGCTGGAACCATTATGCGCAAAAAACAAGTCAGGTACCACAAATCACACCTTTGTATAGGAGCAGTATTTCTCACCTTGGGTTTTATTTAAGGCATATGGACTTAAACTCCCAGAATTCCCCAGTAAGCATGCTGGCTAGGGAACGCTGGGAACTGAAATCCACAAAAGTTGCTAAGGTTGAGAAACACTGGTGCAAAGTCAAGGGCTTTGGTATACAAGTAGTCCTTGATGTACGACTACAATTGAGCCCAGAATTCATGCTGCTAAGTGAGAAATTTGTTAAGTGAGTTTCGCCCCATTTTATGGCTTTTCTTGCCACAGTTGTTAAATGAATTACTGCAGCTCTAAAATTAGTAACATGGTTGTTAGGTGAATCTGTCTCGCCCATGGACTTTGCATGTCAGAAGGTCACAAAAGAGGGTCACATGTCTCTGGGACACTGCAACCATCAGAAATATGAACCAATTGTGAAGCATCCAAATTTAAATCATGTAACCATGAGCATGCTGCAATGGTCATAAGTGTGAAAAATGGTCATAAATTACTTTTTTCAGTGGCATTGTAACTTCAAATGTGGAAATCTTATCAGTATCTTACGGTATTTAACAGAGAAGGGAGACCTTTTTCTGTAAAGGATGGCTAATTTTCTGAGGGGAATTGGCAGCAGGTGTACCACTATATGCCACAGTTCATTTAGTGACCAATTTGTCATTCTTAATTTTTCTAATTATATTAATGATAAGAGTTTAAGGCTTTTTAGAGCAGTGTAGCTCAATCTTGGCCACCTTAAGATGTGTGGACTTCAATTCCCAGAATTCCTGAGTGAGCATGCTGGCTAGGGAATTCTTGGAGTTGGTCCATATGTCTTTAAAAGTGGCCACAGTTGAGAAACACTTCCTTAGAGTTTGATGAGGTAATTGTGGAGTCTAAACCAAATTAGTATCAACTGCAAGCTCGTGTGTACAAACATGCAACCATGGTGCTCCTTCTTGCAGTTTCAAAGATACCTTTAGAAGCAAGGATGCAACTTCACCAAGAGGAACCATTAAATGGGGCCAACAGGAAGAGATCTGATTCTTTTTCTTCCTGCTTTATTAATAGGAAGCTGAGCCTTCAAGTCAGTTTGACTTCTGGCAAATGGTTGGACCTGTCCCTGTGGCTTTCTTGACAATTGTTTTTCAGAAGTGTATTTCTGGTCTGAGAGGAAATCACTGCATTGGCTTCATGTCCAACTCACAGATTTCCAGCTTCGTGCCTAAAAGCTGATCTCAAGATCTATACAAGTAATCCTCGACTTATAACACAGTTTGTTTAGGGACTGTTCTAAGTTCAACAGGACCATTTTTCACACTTACAACTGTTGCAAGCATCCCCTTGGTCACAGGTTCAAAATTCGGATGCTTGGCCCAACTGACTCGTATTTATGACAGTTGCAATGTCCCGAGATCATGTGATCACCTTTTGTGACCTTCTGATAAGCAGAGTCAACGGGAAAGCCAGATTCAATTAACAACCATGTTCCTAACTTAACCTAACCACGGTGATTTGCTTAACAACTGTGGCAGGAAAGGTTGTAAAATGGAGCAAAACTCAATTAACTGTCTCTTAGCAACAGAAATTTTGGGCTCAATTGTTGTTGTAAGAAGAGGATTACCTGTTAGGTTTTTTTTTTTAAAAAAAAAACAGGGGCGAAGTTTTTATTAGGGGATGTACCAAAATACTCCCACCCTCCAAAGAGGGAAAAGGAACAAGAAGACAGCAGGAAAAACACAATGATGACTTAGTCTAGACCAGGGGTCGCCAACCTTTTGGACTTCAGGAACCACCAAACTCATAATTTTAGATCCCAGGGACCACTAACCGGTTCTGTGGGCGTGGCCAAATTTGTGGATGCGGCTTGGTGGTCATGTGACTGGCTGGTCATGGCTTGTATGTAAATATTATAAATATTTATATAAATATTGATTTTTTTTATAAAAAAAGAGCAACTTTTACCCAAAATCAGGCAAAGCAGGCAGGCAGATTGAGTTGCTCACAGAATCACAGATCCACTCAGAGATCTATCTATCTGCCATTGGCTAGCTCAGTCTGTCACATAAAATTTGGTTGCAAGCAAACTCATAAAATTTGCTAGCGAGCAAACTCACAAAATTAACTCACAACACACCATGCATGTAAATATTGAATTTTTTATTTAAAAAAAGAACAACTTTTACCCCAAATCAGGCAAAGCAGGCAGGCAGATTGAGTTGCTCACAGAATCACAGATTCGTTCAGAAATCTATCTATCTGCCACTGGCTAGCTCAGTCTGTCACATAAAGTTTGCTAGCAAGCAAACTCACAATTAACTCACAACACACCATGTATGTAAATATTGAATTTTTTATAAAAAAGAGTAAATTTTATCCAAAATCAGGCAAAGCAGGCAGATTGAGTTGCCCACAGAATCATTCAGTGATCTATTTATCTGCCATCGGCTAGCTCAGTTTCTCAAATTTGCTTGCCATGAGTCTGCACTGAATTTGTTTGCAAGCAAACCTTCAGTCCTAAGGGAGGTTCGGCTGTGCTTAGAAAGCAAGAAATCCAACCATTTCCTGCTTCCTAGCTAATCTAAATCTCCCAGCACAGCAGAACAGATGATGATCAGGAAAAGGAAAAATGGCAAGTTAGCAGACAAGTTTGCCGGGTAAGGAGTGAGTGGGTGGGGAGGGTTCCACGGGCCATGTGGGCAGCGTAGCCTTGTGTTCCTGTGCAGCCTGGAGTAATTGCTTTGGGGAGGGTGCTCTGGGTGTGAGATTTCTCTGCGGCCCACCAAAATGTTCTCACGGCCTACTGGTTGGCAACCACTGGTCTAGACCACTGGTGTCAAACTCAATTTCGTTGAAGGCCACATTGTGACTGGGGTGTGGGGAGGGGGACTCCGGGGGGGGGGCTGGCCAGCATGATGTCACCTGTGTGGGGAGCACTGTGGTGGCCCAAGCGTTCTGTCAGCAAAAATGGGCTCCAATCCAATGTTTTCGGCTGTGACGGCCTCCTGCAACCCTCTGCCAGCAAAAACGAAGGAAAACAGCTTTTCTGCACCCCTCCGTTTTTGCTGGCAGAGGCACTGCGGGCTGATCCTTCAATGTTTCCAGGCTGGGCCCACAGGTCAGATCTAAGCACCCCATGGGCCAGATCCAGCCCACAGGCCGTGAACTTGACACTCCTGGTCTAGAGGACTTATCCCTGATGGGATACTAAAATGCATAAGCTTTTGTGAAACTGCATCCTGATCTCCCTGGATATCTTACAGCAAGGGTCTCCAACCCCTGTGCTGTAGCCCACTATTGGGCCATGGCTCATTCAGAACCAGTCTGCGCAAATGGCGGGTGAGCACAGAAGCATATGCAGCTTGTTTTGTGAGCAACGAGCACATGTGTGTGCATGAATCTCCATTTGTGTGAGTGGCAGGTGCTCAGGCAAGAAGCTCCATTTTCATATGCCTACCACTCACAAAAATAGAGTTGTGAGCATGCCTACCACTTGCATGGAACCATCCTCCCACTGCCCTGAGGGCTGCTAAGCTGAAAAGGTTGAGGACCGCTGCCTTATAGCAAATTTCCAAATGATTGTTTTGGAAATTGAGGAATTGCTGAACTTGCATAAAGCAAATGGTTTCAGCCCTTCTCTACACACACAAAATGGATTATTAACCCATGACTATAACCGTGATAAGATGCTTGAAACCCATTATCTCTAAGTTGCATCTCCATAAGCAACCAGCTTTCCTCTCCTTTCCTCATCCCAGTTTAAAATCTAAGTCTAGCTATTCAAATGAAGCTAGATCAAGTGAGGTACTAATACCACTCTATAAAGCCTTACTAAACACACCTGGAATACTGCATCCAGTTTTGGTCACTACATTATAAAGAGTGGTATCTAGAAAGTAAGCAGAGAAGAGCAACCAGGATGATTAGGGGACTGGAGGCTAAAACATATGAAGAATGGTTGCAGGAACTGGGCATAGCTAGTTTAGTGAAGAGAGGAACCAGGGGAGACATGATAGCAGTCTTCCAATATTTAAGATGCTGCCACAGAAAGGAGGGGATTTTCCAAAGCACCCAGAGGCTAAACAAGATGTAACGGATGGAAAATTGAACAAGGAGACATTCACTCTAGAAATAAGGATAAATTTTCTGACCATGAGAAGAATCAACCAATGGAACAGTTTGCCTTCGGAAGTTATGGGAGCTTCATCACTGGAGGTTTTTAAAAGGAGACTGGATTGCCATCTGTCAGAAATGGTGTAAGGTCTTTTGCTTGGGCGGGGGTTGGACTAGATGACATACAAGGTCCCATCCAACTCTGTTAATCTGTTAGTCCAAGTGGAGCTCATGAAAGCTCATGGCTTATAATAAAGGTTGGTTTGTCCGCAAAGGTGTTTTCGAATTTGTCAACTTCAAGCTCTAAGCAATTGTTTGGGAAAAGCACAGGCTCCTGGCACTGATGTTGAAGTGGCTGTCTCTGTTTTCTTTGGCTAGCCGTGCTAATCAGGATTTACTGAATACTATCACCCAGCACAATAAACCACAATCCACAGTTTCCAAGCCACAGTGGTTCAGTTTACACAATATGTTGGGACTGTGTAACTGTCACGAATTTAGTCCTCAATTTACAATCACAATAGAGCCCAAAATTTCTTTTGCTAGGTGAGACAGTTGCTAAGTGAATGTTACCTCATTTTACAACCTTTCTTGCTGCAATTGCTAAGTAAATTGCTACAATTGTTAAGTTAGTAAGCCAGTTGTTAAGTGAACCTGGCTTCCCTATTGACTTTGCTTGTCAAAAGATCACAAAGAGAGATCACATGATTCCCAGATATTGTAATCATCATAAATTTGAGCCAGTTGCCAAGCACCCCAATTTTGATCACATGACCAGGAAATACTGCAAAGGCTATGTGAAAAACAGTCATAAGTCACTTGTTTCAGTGCTGTTATTAATTCAAATAAATTATTTCTCCCCTCAGAAGGGCACCTCTGTGAAGAAGTCTGCTACATGTACGTAGGTATACGTGTATGTGCTGTAATTTTCCCATTTCCCTTTTTTGCAATATCTTCCCACAGGGACCAGGCAGTATCAAATCAGAAAAGGATTCATCACAAACATTACCAGTCATAAAAAACAGAATGAATAATCTCAGAATGCTGGCTTCTTAGAAAAGGGTCCCATCAGGACACAAGAGGAAATGTTTTATGCCCTGGTAGTAGACTTCCTGGAAATATCTGACTAGTTGTGATAGGTATTAGAATATGGATTGTTCGTTCTTTGGTTCTTAACGCACAATTGTATTGTGAAAACAGTGACCCAAAATATAGCAATGGTTATTGCTCTGATTATTTTGTCGGGGACTGGGGAGCTCTTATCACATGGGTGTTGTTAGCTTCCTTTAGGCATTAACTTGATAAGATGGGAGACTTTTTATAACAAATACACATAGGTGTTAGCTAGTGTCTAAGATAAAAGTTGCTCTGTACTAAATAAACCACACTGGGTTTTTAAAATCCCAATAAGCAAGTTCCAGCTTCTGGGCCCTAAAACCCAGGAAAGAGGGGGCACAATTAAGTAACAGTAAATCAAGTTACCTCAAATTATGAAATCCTCAGCTTGTGGTTGTGTGTGTTAGAACTGGTTTTTATTGCAGCGATGTAGAGTAACCTTCTCCAGTTGAACATCTTATACAGCACATTGGAATAATCCCCTATTCTCTAAGAACAGAAAGACTGAGAATTGTATTTTGAAAGAGATAGGAAACTAACTTAGGTCAGAGACTATAGGTCAGAAATATAGGATTTCCTGAAGCAGAACAAAAAATAGTTTTAAATCTCTAAGAAACAAGGAACTTAGGTAGGTCTAATAAACTAGGTATCTCAGTGCCCAGAGTTCGATTTCACCAGATGTCATTCTTTTAGTTTTGTTCTGCTCAATAACAGAAATTTTCTTGTATGCCTTCTCTCCTGCCCAATTATTTTATTCTAATCACAAGGCACAAGGAGAGATCCAGGAAGTAGATAATTTTTCTCACTCAACAATAACAAAAAAGCATGGTTTTATAATAAACAGAGCTACAGTGCACAAAGGTTTTATTAGATTACTCTGAACCCAGGCTTTCCCCAATTTTTACTCTCCATATGGTTGAGCCTGTAATGCCCATCAGACTTGAACCTTGCCATGCAAAGTTGCAGCTAGTTGTAGTTTATTGCAGTTTAAAACATTTGGATGGCAACCAGGCTGGAAGAATTACTCACTGAATACAAGTGAATACATGCACATATGGACACAAACATGCTGATTTCTCACCTGTCAAATCATTCTGAATTTCCCAGATCGGCACAACATTCATTTATCAGGAGCCACCGACACAAACTTCCTCCCAAAACAGGGAATGCGGCCCAGAGCCAGACATATTAATGTACATTAAAACACAGCACAAAATGCATTGGGTGATGAGTGGGGTTAAGCTGATTTTTCGGTTTTGGGGGGCCGAGTTTTAAACTGAGCTGATTTTTCCAAAAGCCCAAGGCATTCAAGGCCACATCCTTCAGAATCCAGGCAGGCCTTCAGAGCCCCATCTTTGGAGCAGGAGGTTATCAAGGATGAAGCCCCATCCCAGAGGCTGAAGAAGACACGTGGAGGAGACCCTGAGTGAAGAGGGGAAAGAGAGAGACACAGGCGGTGAGCTGGACCTCCAATCGAGGCATCCAGTGCATTTCAGGACATCCCAGCGGGAAGCATCCCGTTCAAGTAGGGCGACAGCAAGAGCAGCCCGCAGATTAATTCCAGGCTTCCTAAGGCATCCGACGTCGAAGGAGGCCGCGATCAGGGCCGAAAACCCTGAGATTCGGGTTCAGGAGTGCCAGGGTCCACGGCCCTCGCTTCTCCCGGGAGGCTCCGGGCGGGCGGGCGGGCTGGCGGAGATCACAGTCCGCGACTTAGCTCGCCCTGAGGTAGAAGAGAGGCCCCACGACGACCCACCATTTCCCGGGAAGAGAAACCCCGCCGAGCTCTTCGCCTCCCGTTCGGCGAGCAACGGACGGATCGGGCGGAGGGGAACCAAACGGACGAGGGGGAGGCAAGGCTGGCAAGGCCAAATCCTCCGGGGCCCTTCGGAAGCCCCGCCGTTCCCTGAGACGGGGTCCCGCACGCCGGGCTGAGCGGCCCGGCAACGCCTCCAGGCCTCGAGACCCCGGGATTTACTGGTAGGGAGTCCCGCAGGAGAGGGCAACAACAAATACTTCCTTTTGTTGCTAGGAAACAGGAAATGTGCACCCGTCAAAGCGTTCCCCTGCTTGGTTGGACGGGAATAGACTTCCGGAGCCGTTTTTTCTATTTGGTAGCCAAAGCGTCCTTTGCAAAACAGCACACACACCCCCTCACCACCCGCCCCAATATCATACACGCGTATTTCGGATGAGCATCTACAATCTCCCACTATTCTCTCGGGCGGTCTATGAGGAAAACCTTCGCGGGGTGGGGATGGGGGCCGATTTGGCGAGTAGAGCCGTTCCATTAGAACGGAAGTGCCGAAACGAGCATGGAGCGTTCTAAGAGTTTCTATCTCTATCACCCTATTGTCCTGTTTCCGGTCTGAGATGGAACGAGTTGCCCGTTCTCCCAACGGTGTGTTAGCGATTTCGCCATAGAGATTCCAAAGGGTAGAGCGACGCTTGAAAAAGAATATTTGCCCTACAAGACAATAGTGAACAATGGAACCGCGTCAACTCTCTCAGAAGTTCCGTGTGAATGTTTATGGGGTAGGGTTTTTTTTAGTTTTTTTTTTTTAGAGAATCACCTCTTCTGAAGTGTCACAAAAATATAAGGCCGTGCGATAGATAGAAACCCTGGAATGGATTGTAAAGCATCTACAGACCTCTGCTGTTGAGGTCTCCAAATTTGGCAACTTTAAGACTTGTGGACTTCAACTCCCACAATTGTGGGAGTTGAAGTCCACAAGTCTTAAAGTTGCCAAATTTGGGGACCCTTGCTTTACAGTCACATTCTCTCTCTCTCCTTAGGGAAAGAGCTTTGACGTCAGAACTGCTCGCCACTCAGCAGGTCCCAAGCAGAAATGCATCCCCCCAGGCATCATTCACTTCTTGTTGCACTGAAAAGGAACATCAGCAACAAAATTATTGCTATTAATCTTCTCATCACTCCTTATCGTCCATCCCCGCCCACTTGTGATTGTATGAGTGTAACTTTGTCGCTTGTATCCTTAGTTTATATTGACTGTATCCTAGTATGATTTGATCTATTATAACCTATGACTATTATTAAGTGTTGTACCTTATGATTCTTGACTCTTAACGAATGTATATTTTTTTTATGTATACTGAGAGCATTTGCACCAAGACAAATTCCTTGTGTGTCCAATCACACTTAGCCAATAAAGAATTCTATATATCTATATATAAAAACAAAAACAAAGCTTGTAAAAGCAGCTGGTTTATTGCAGGTGAAGAGATCCGGTGTCGCATTCTTCTCTAGCCTGTCAGAATTTGTTCCAATCCTCACTCATGTCTTTCAGGATTTCTTCCTGTGCCACATGTTTCGATCATGTTAACAAGTTAACACTTGGGATGGGAGACCACGCAGAAATCTCGGAACAATAGGGAAGTTGGGAAAACAAAAACAAAAAAATCACCCTGGGAAGGTGTTGGTGGAGATTTTCAGTCATCCAGGTCACAGTTGTCACAAAGGTGCTTTTTTTCAGAAGGTAACCCACTGGGTTTTTTTCCCCTTTGAGGAAGAAGAAAAGGAAAGCGTTTCTTTCTCATCCAAGAAAGTGCATGGGTTGATTAATTGATTCATCAACCGATGAAGTTTCTTGGATGAGAAACGAAAAGTTTTGTTCTTCTTCCCCAAAGGAAAAAACAACAACAGTCCAGTTGCCTTTTGAAAAAGCAGATTTGAGACACTCTGGGAAGAAGACAGCGGCCAGCCGCTTCCCTATTGTCGGAAGTTCCCGGTTCTCCTGCATGGAGCGGAGAGCCCAAAGCAGGGGGCTCCAACCGTGGCAACTTTTAAGACTTGTGGACTTCAACTCCCAGAGTTGAAGCTGGCTGAGGAACTCTGGGAGTTGAAATCCACAAGTCTTAAAAAGTTGCCAAGGTTGGAGACTCCTGGCCCAAAGTGCTCCCTGCTTTCGGCTTCATGAAGGCGAACCGGCCACTTCCGGTAACAGGGAAGCGGCTGGCCGCCGTCTTCTTCCCAGGGAAGAAGCCCAAGGCAAACCCTCTTGGAAACCAGGGCTGCTGGGTGCTCCCCGAGTTTGCTTATGGCCTGGCAGACCTTTCATTACCCAAAGTAGATAACATGACCATGGCTAGCCTCTTGGAAATGCCATATTCCGCCCCCCCACCCCATACCCGTCTGGTGCATCCTCCAAAAGGTTCCCCGGAGCGGCTTCGCCACACTTCCTGCCCGCTTCCCTCCGGGGACACGCCGCACTTCCTCTGCTTGCCCACCGCCTCCCCTTACCCCTTTCGTATCATTCCCCCCACCCCCACCCCCTTGTCATCCAACGAGACGAACATCGAGATCGCCGCCTCCCTTCGTCTCACAGGCAGCCGCTGCCTTTGCAGCCGGGGCGGGAGAAGGAGGAGGAAAAAGAGGAAGGGAGGGGATCCCTGCAATTCCAGCTCATTGCTCCCACCCACCCACTTAGCCAGCTGCGGCCGCCCCGCCCCGCGCCTCCATTTCCTCTCTCCTTCCTCCGCGGTCCTAGCGCTCAGCCACATGGAGCCGCAGAGAAAGGGGAGAGCCCCTCCTAGACAAAGGAGCCAGCAGGTAAGGCTGGGGAGGGGGTGGGGGACGGACGGACGGATGGGGCGAAAGGGGGACCCGCCGCTGAGGATGGGCTTAGCTCCGCAAAAGCTCCTCCGGCTCTGCTTTTCTCTTTTCTCCCTCCCGCCTGAAGGACGAGCGCCCGAAGCTGCTCCCGATGCCGAGCCCTGATGTGCCCTCTTTCCCCCCGCCTGGCAGGTCGCTGTCTCCCGGTCCTAAAGCCAGCCATTTTGCCGCCCGGACGGGCAAAGAGCCGCTTTGCTTTGGATGCGAAGAGCGGCCGCTGCTGCGGTCTCCTGCGCCGGTGCTGCTTGGCATCGCCCGCTTTGGGCGGCAGAGAGGCCAGCGGGTGCGGCTAACCTTTTCCGTCTCCCGTCGGGAGTCCTAGAGACAGCCATTTTGCAGAAGGGGGCTCCTGGCTGGCGGAAAGCTTTGCCTCTCTCTCTCTCTCCCTTTGCGATGCTGCAGTTGCGAGCACGGCTGGCGGGCATCGGCCGCTGCTGGATGCTGGCCCCGGAAGCCGGCCAGATCGGCACCCGCAGTCGGCCTTCGAGCGCTCGGCATCTGCTGCTGCTGCTGGGACCTCGCTAGTTAATTTGTTTCCCTTTGGGCAAACTGTGTTGCAAACAGCCTCGCTTTCCCGGTTGGATTGCAGGTAGTGCCAGAGGTTGTCCCTGCGGGATGGGAATGAGAGAGCGCTTGGACGGATGGTTAGGCGGTTCTCAACATGCAGGCACAAAGGGCGTGCGAGCAATCCACACCCGCCTTTCCTTTGTCCCTTCGGTTTGTTTCAAGAAAAGAAAAAAAAAAGGGGGGGTTGTTTTTCCTACTAGCTCCCGGTAAAAGAGAGCCGTCTCCTGGGGACGGTTCTAACAGTAGATCTACTCACTGACGCGATTGTGACCCGCGCCGTCCAATTGCTGGAGTAGGATCATCCTATCCCCTTTGCCACGGAATGGACCTTCTTGGTAGTGGCACCCCTGGCACGGGATAGTCTCCCATGGGAAGTATGGCTGATCATTCTGCTTTCCCCTTAAATCAGTGTTTCTCAGCCTTGAGCATTTTAAGATACTGGGCTTCAATTCCCAGAATATCCCAGCCAACCATGTTCCGAAAGTGGACTTGGTTTCGTCTGTGAAGATGCTTTACTTCTCTCATCCAAGAAGCTTCTGACCAAATGGCGGAGGAAGACATATCCTTCCATCCTCCACCATTTTGTCAGAGCAGAAGCAGCTTCTTGGATGAGAAGCCAAACATCTTCAAGGAAAAAATAAAGTCCTGTTCCATTTGGGGGAGGAAACACTTTGGGACAACCATGACCTGGATGATTGAAAGTCTCCATAGACATTTAATCTAGATGGATTTTTCTGAGAGGGGAAAGAAGGCCTAAGCTGCCCTGCAAGCATATCTGCAAATTCTGCTGCCTGAATTGTGCTGGTGTGTGCTCACTGGCCAGGCACCCCACAGCAGGGGTGGGCAGACCTTAGCCCCAGACTTCTACTGCCCAGCCTTGTTTTTCCAGTCCCCCAGAGCACTCCCTCATTGACTATGAAGATGACCCTTGGCAGCAGAAGGCTGAAATAAGTGTTGAGCAGTTCATCTTTCCAGAATGAAGAAAAAAAAAGAGAAAAGAAAAAACTGTGCTAAACCTTCTGTAGGTTTATCTCCTATTTTGCCTTTCTAAAATTAACAATAAACACCCATTCACGACTGCCAAGCTCCATGCTAGAACAGGGGTGATCTCCCTCTCTCTTCCCCCTCTCCCTTCTTCTCCCTTCCTTTCCCTCTGTCCCTCTCTTCTCTGTTGCCCACCAGACTAGGTGTGCTCAGAGGCACTGCTGCACAGTCTTATGCGTACTATTCCTAGGCACGCATCTGGGGGTACCTTTAAACCCTGGGCAAACCTTTCTTTTGCAGGTCGTTATTTATTCAGCAGCAAAACTCTGTCTCCTGTCCTAGTTGGAAACAGTTCAACCTTGTTTTTTTGCACCTGCCATCATTTTCTGAGACCCTCTACTACCGCTCCAGGTTTTGAGTTCCTCAATGCTACATGAAAGGAAGCTTGTGAACAATTGCAATTCTGCTTGGCAAATTCCAGGCACTCCACTTGCAAGAGGCTTGTAATTTTATTTTACCTTCCTCCAAAATCTCCTGTAATTCTAAGTCTGTCTGCTTCTGATGGCCTTCCTTATCCTCTCCCCTTGTCCCTCCAGAAGCTGAATCCAACCCTTTTGCAAAGAGCAGGCAATTTCCCCACCATCTGTTCTGGCAGGGTGGAGGAAAAAAACAACCCTTTCCATCTATTCCCCTCACCCCTGAGTTACAGATGCTGACATCTTAACATTACAGACTCTTTCTTTTTTTAAAAAAAAATCTGATTTTGGAATGCAAAGTAAACTTGTGTGTACCTTTTCTTTCTGCTTTTTTTTTTGGTCAATTGCACACTCCTTACAAACAAAATTTC